TGTCAAGAGCAGAGCGGCGGCTATGAGGGATGCGATAACTTGGAATATAGACAGGCTGAGCATTGGGAACCAGGTTAATCTTATGTTGAAGGATATCAGTCTTGCCAAGGGGTCGAGACTCAGAAGGCAATAGGGAGGGATATTCCCGGAAGAGGCGAGATAAGATTTCATAACCCTCATCAAAATCTGGAGAGGGAATAGTCGAGAGTGTTTCATGAGAGGAGGGAGGTGGTTCGCCCAGAGTGGGCTGAGTTTGAGTGGTTGCAGTGAAGGCAGGTGGTGGTAGTTCCATGACTTCACCTTTAGCTAGTTCATAATCAACTACCCGGGTGTTATTGTGAAGTCGGATGGGGGTAGGGGTTAAGTTAATCAGGTGGAGGAATGACTCCCCTTTAGATATGGAATAAAGTGCTGGCAAGATGGCAATTCCCTTAACACGAGATCCTTCTGGCAGGACCAGGCATGCACCCTCGTTTACATGTGTTACAACGTTGACAGGCATGTCGGAGAATGGAGGAATGGTGGTAATTTCCTTTACACGAAAGTGTAATGCACTGTCGCCCATAGTCCATGAAAAGGGTCCAAAATGTGTAGCAGTAGCTGGGGTAGGACAAGGGGGAATATTATGGGGAGGGGCAGCGGGAGTATCTTGGTCCAAGGCCTGAGAGGTGGGAGGCTTACTTGGCACAGAAGCAGGACTTCTCTGGCACCTGAGTCTGGGACGATGCTTGGGGAGGTCAGGGGGTTTGGGGTTGTTTGTTTGTTTGTTGAGGGGAATCTCTTTCCCAGTTATATGGCCAGAAATTGAGTCTTTGTTGTGGTACTTACGGGGGGGCATGAGTGCATCATAACTGTTGCGATGAGTCCACATGGAGGAGGGCTTAACAAGGGAGAAAAACTTACCATTAAACTTAATTCTGTTATTCCTAGGATCATGAGCAATACCTGTACGCCAGAGAAATTCATGGCCCAGGAGGAGATCACCAGGGACAGTATGGGACTCAGTAACAATAAATGGATGGAGAAACAAAATTCCATCCAACTTAATGTTCAGCCTGGTTTCTCCTATTACCCTCAGACTGTTACCAGAAGCACCCCGTACAGACCAGCGAGGAGGTTGGATCTTGAGATCTAACCCAAACCTTGACAAAGTTGAAGCGGACACCAGACTGACGGACGAACCACTATCTAAGAAAAACATTGCTGGTTTACCATTGAGGCGTGCAGGAAGCAGAGGGGGGCTATTGCAATGGCTAGCAGTAGCAGAGGCTATTAATTGAGTACTGAGTCCCATGGGCTTTGCAAGATTTCCGCATCTGGGGAAGGGTCTGCTGGGGAGTATCTCGGAGGTCTTCGAGAAGTTCCTCTAAAAAATGGCACGACTTTTGTGTTTTGTGGGGGCTACTTCCACGTCTAGCTTTTGTTAATAAATCCTGTGTTATAGCACTCTGCTCCGTATAGACTTTGCATTGATACCATGGGTGTCCATAAATGTTGTGGAATGGGCATACCGGAATGTTCCGGCAGTCGCGAGAAAAATGGCCATGATGTAAACATTTGTGGCAGACCGACTTTTCAGGGATCCAATTGGTAACAGCAGGGGGTCTAAAGAGAGGACGCGGGATTGGGGTGTTCTGATAGGGTGAGTTCGGGGCATAACGTCCTGGCATGCGGGGGTAATAACTAGAGCGGGGGTTAGGGCGGGCAGGTAAGGACATTAGGGGCGGAATGGTTTGGCGTGTTGGCACACGAACGAGTTCAGTGGAGGGTTGGGGTTGGGGAGGGGAGGTTGGTTTCGCAGATAAAGCATTGGTTACCTGCACATCATTGCCAGCAACTTCTTTAACTGCCTTAGAAAAAATGTCCGGCAGTTCAACAACATTATCAATCTTTCCGATTTCACGCCAAACTTTCTCCTGGCACAATGGGGTGAGTGATGATGCAAATACTGCCGAAGTGAAGTAAAGCATATATTCATTGTGGGATGCGGTATCACGAAATGCTCCTTTGATGTTTGAAAGGGAGTTATCTGGGATGGCCGAAATCCACTTATTTACTGCAAGTCTGACGCGATTACAATGAGCGCGGAGGTCAGCGTAAGAAAATGACTGCGGCCGTAAGCTAAAAATCCTGGCGAGCTGAAGTACATGATCAACCTGAGAGGGTCTGAATAGAATACCAAATTCTTGCTTAAACAATTCCCACGAGGGGTTAGGTTGTTGGTCAAAAGCATGAAACGCTTCCCTAACCTTTGGTGAGGTAAGGTCAAGACGGGAATGAACAGCATTTAAACATTTCTTATCGAACCCGTTGTCTGATCTCGGTGTCCCCGCTGATACAATGAATTCCTCAATTTCCTTGATCAGGGAATCTATGTCTAGCTTCAAGCTGCCGTCAAACTTGGTAACAACAGAATAGGGCTGGAGGAAGGTTGGGTTAGTGGTTGTGGTGGGGTCTGAAGGCATTGTGGAGAGTGCACGGGGACGAGGGGATGTAGGGGAAGGGGGGGGAGGAGGGTGTGTAACGTTATGTAAAGGAGAATCGCTGGTGAAATGTGCGGTGTCGTTTACTTGTTTGTTTGTAGAAAATGTCTTTCTACACCAACTATAGCTGCATCTATTTCCAAGATAGACTGCTCGGCTGCGTGTGAAAGGTCGTGCTGTGTGATTGGACATATGCAGATAACAGCGGAGATCTGAGTGTAAGGTTCAAGGCAACAAGGAATTATCAGTCGGAGATTTTTGATTACAGAGAAAATGTGAAAAGGGCGAAGGTCTTAAGGGAACCAGGTAACTTATAGGTAGGTGTTCGGGGGGGTAAGAAACTGGCCATACACAAGAGTGGACTTACCCCGAAACAGAAGCGTGATCGGCGACAGACGGCAGGTAGCGTAGCGCTGCAGAGCGGTCGGCGGACTATCGGCGTTGTGAGGCTCGTGGTCACCGCTGCCATCAGATGTAAGCGACACTAGAGATGGACTTAAGGCGGATAATGAAAGTGGCCTTGGCTTTTGGCTTTATTCGCTACAAGGTGAGTGGATGCAAGCTGAGCTCCTTCTGCCGAGGTATGGCGAATGTCCCCCTTTTATTCCGCGGCTACGTCCTGGGCGGAGTTTGCTTCCGCGGCTGGAGTGTCAGGTTATCAGACCGTGACAGGGGGGTGAGTCGCTGGGCTTGCTTGAGGGGGACATGTAGGTCACCTAGGAGGTCCTTGGGTAAACCAGGGTCAGGAGTGGAAGGTGCGAAGTGGCTGCTTCCTGTGATAAGGTGGACTCAGGAGGCGGCGACGGGAAGGCGCAGCCTTTGTTCAGCCAGGGACAGATGTGTGGAGCACCACCCTCCGGATGTTGTTTATACATTGTGTGCTGATAGTTTATTCACAAGCACCTTTTGATGCTTAACATTTGTCTATATACAATATGAAAATTAGAAGAACCATTTTGTCCTACCACCTTTAGATTGTCAGCATGTATTCTGATGTGTCTACATACAATGTTATGTAGATTAAATGTACTGTTTTGACCTGCCAGCTTTTTGCACTGATGAACTAACATTAATACTCCATGTATGTCAATTTTACTCTTAAAATACCATTGTTACCACATTAAAT